TGTTTTCTGTGAATTTGACCAAATCTGTTCCTGTTTATCTTTCTAAACAAACTTGGAGGCTGAATTTCAGCGAAGATCAACAACTCTCAATTATGTTTTGTACATCTAGTTAAGGTACCTCTCAAGGAAAGAGATCATAGAAAGCTGAAATTAAAGACAGAATTTTCTTATGTTTAGGTAAATGCATAATGCTGTGGCTTGCTAGAACTCTTAGAATCATAGAATAGTTAGGGTTGGAAAGGACCTTAAGATCATCAAGTTCCAACACCCCTGCCATGGGTAGGGGCACCTCACGCTAAACCATCTCACCCAAGGCTTTGTCCAACCTGGCCTTGAACACTGCCAGGGATGGAGCATTCACAACCTCCCTGGGCAACCCATTCCAGTGCCTCACCACCCTAACAGGAAAGAAGTTCCTCCTTATAGAATGTATATTATAGAATTTCCTCCTTATAGAATATATATTATAGAATTTCCTCCTTATATCCAATCTCTTAAGAAAGTTTGTTCTGGTTCTTGTGATAAAAAAAAAGAATTCTAGAAAGTACACCCCACGCATGAAAAATAAATACGTCTCAAAGTGGAAATACCTTTAAGAATGCAAAAAACCTTCAGACTCCCATCCCTAGAGATCTTCGGTAAGTTGTTCAGAGAAGTGGCTGTTCATTAAAAATCTGCTGTGCACAACCCAAGTGTTCAAAGAAATCTCAACGGGAAATACATCATGGGCCTATGGTGGCCTGGAAAGAGACTCTGCTCTGGAGTAGTTAACATGCACGCACAGGACACTTGTAGGAGTCAATAAAGTGCAAGATCCATCTCTGACCGGCTGCAATTATGGGTGTAACAGTAAAGCTAAAGCTGGGTGAGTGCCCTAACCTGACTAATATGGGGCAGATCTCTCTCCTGTTTCCATTTCAGAGCAGAGCAGACACACTTTTGAATTCGCCAGGATCTTAACAGGACAGAAAAAAATCCCTTTCCATGCAGCCCTATTTGGCACCTCAGACTGAGCAGTTGCCTCTCTTTAGTATAACCCTCTTCATAATTTTCCTCAGGTTTGGGAAATGCTAATTATACCCGCTCTACAGTTCATAACACCTGACAAATGCAGGGGTAGGCTCAAAATATGCAGTCTGTGCTGACTAATTTTAAGGGATACAGATTAAAAAATAGAATTCACGATCAAAATTACACACCTGAGTGCCTTGTTTAACGTTGGGTAGGAGCAACACACATCAGAGAGAAGATATCAAATCAGGAGCTACTTAGAGCTAATATAAATGTTACATACATAGGTTGTTTCTGAACTTCAGCTTTACGTGCAACAGAAGCACATAAAGAGAAGACTCTCCATGAACCTGAATTTCCAAGTGGAATACGTGATTCTTGCAATGCAGCTGTAGAAGAAAGACTCAGTCATATCTTTTATATATTAATATATCTCCTGGTTAAAATACTGTCCAAAAAATGGGCAGGAACTCATATTCCCAAACCACTCTACATTTGACAGAACACCAAAAGAATGAGCTGAGAATCACTCCTTATTCCTCCTCTAAGTCTTCAACTCTGTTGAGGAGAGGAGCGCAAGATGTGGTAGAAGGGTGAAGGAGCAACATGACATTGTGGGATAGTCACATAGAAAAGGGGCGTCCTGGTTTGCACTGCCTGCTTCTGCTTTGTTTCCATTTTCATCCCATGGCTCTCCTGATGGATTATCAGAAGGCATGGCAAAAACCCAACTTATTTACTCCCTGGTACCTATCTTAATCACTACAGAGAAGCCTGCTCTTTTTGTGTCTTCTTTGGCCCCTCACCTTTTGCATTCCTTTCTAAGCAGAGGCACAAAGTGCTTTCATGCTCAGAATACAGTATTAGGGGTGAAAAAAAGGATGGAAGCCCAATTTATGTTTTTTCTGTCTGTTCCTAAAATGAAGCAGCTGCAATCACTGCTGGTTTTGTGTGAGCCCCCCAACCCTATAAGCCTAGATTTGCTATTGTCCTGCTCATTGTACTTCTATTGAGGAGCTGATGAATAGCATGGCCTAGCATCCAAATGCCATTCAGGTCCAGTGACAATAGGTCTGTAGCCCAGAGACCTGGAAAATAACCAGGTATAAGTTCTGGTTAGTGTTGAACTCTACAGTCTGGGTGATAAATGCATGTACCTAAATCATACTGCATATGGTTTCAGACATAAATACTAACGGGAGAAATCTTGGTATAAAGAGGAAACTGAACTGAACCTCAGCTCTCAGCTTCCCAGCCACAAAAATGAACTCTAGGGCTCCCTTCCCTGTCAGACACAAACTCATAATACCGCTATCTAAAAGAAACCTCTTCTTTAAGGTATTTCAGGGTGTCGAGTAAGGAAGCACTGGGAGTTCAGACCACATTCGTATATGTGTTCCTCGCATTCCAGGAAGATGGCAACCAAAATGATACCAGCAATGAAGTTTCTTAGGGTTGCCTGGTAAAATACGAGACAGTTCCAGCTTCTGCTGTAGCTTTTTAACCGTTGTTTCCTGAGAGACCAGTGAGAAGCAGTCTTAGCCATTTTGGGTCCTGCAAAACATATTGATGGTGCCACGGAATTGACAGCAAGCATCTAACACCTAACTTTTAGTTATCAACTGTTTAATGACAGCCAGAGAGACGTTGTTATAGTTTTCTAGATGGGGAAAAGGCAACTGGCATTCTAAGTCATTTACTATAGATTATATATGCAAAATGAGAAAACACTGTGGAGCAGCACATAAATAGCCATGCTTAAATGGCTACTACAAAGCTGCACACAATTGGAATTTGAACTGTTTGCAGTCTATAAAAAAAGAACCTATGTCTGCCTCTTGATTTAAAAAGAATCCATAGTTTGTTGATTGCACTAATTACAACGCAGTTGAATTCGTCCTTTTTCTCAACCACTAAGGATCACAAACACATTGCCTTCAGTTCTGTCTGAACCATGTGCTTGACTTCAAATTATGGGCATAGAGAGAGTGTATTCTAAATCATATACATCATCCACGTAAGAAGAATAATGAGTTTTCATATCATAAGATCTAAAGGATGAAGTCTCCCACTGGGGACAGAGCAATGTATGAAGATGTACTGCTGGCACCAGGAATAAAAATAAAGGCACAGCATCACATCAAAAAGAAGTCAAAAAGAGTAAAGGTAGTTGAGAAAAGAAACAAAAAACAAAAGGAGAAAAGCAGACTTGAGGCCACATCTGTGGCTAAAGGAATGGTGGCAGGAGCCTTGAAGGCTTTGGATTAAGATACACAACATATATAGGAGTGGATGGCTAAATGCTCAAGATTAATCTTATTTCCTTATATCCACCCGGCATATCTCATGGTCACTGCGAAAGGTAACTGGCACATTCAGAGGCTTAGGAAGAACCCTGTTAGAAACTCAGGATGATTCTTGTTCATCTTAGCTTCTTATTAGCATTAGAGTGTGAGAAACCTGACTGAGACTCCTTTCACTCTTCCATACCAAAACCTCTTTTCCTGTTAATTAATCTATCTGCTGTCTCATCATAGCTGGAAGCTTTGATTCACAGTTCTTATTAATTGTCACATAATGCACTACAGCCACAGTACAGAATAGAAAAGTACTGTGAAATCAGAAAACGCTTGGCAGAGAACTGATCTTAAGGAGAAGCAATGAGTACTGATGGTAGGAAGACAAATAGTGCTTTCTTGGGAAAACAAGCATTTCCATCCCCTTTCAGAACTGTGATGCTTTCCAAATTCTGACTGGTCTGAATAACACTTCTATAGTCAGCTCTGCCTCCATTGCCCAACTCTGTCTCTTCATATTAGTTTCTGGGTTGGTTTTGTTTCTGGGTGAAAAATCAAAGGCCCAGGGTCCCAGACCATGAAAAGTCACCATGAAGCTAGCATAGATAGCAAAGCAATCATTTCCCATTGGTTGGAAGGGGTCAGCCATCGGCCTTTGCCCAGGACCTGCAGAGTCATTGGCTATGACAACACGATTACACTAAGGTTGAGCTCCTGTTTAATTAATTGGGATAGACTTGTTGCACAGACTTATGGGTAGGGTTCCATTAGTTAGCCAGGCATGTACACAGCGAAGCTGCACTCCACAGACTCAGTGTGAAATCACAGGTGGAAGTCCTCAGCTCCCTTTCCTGAGATTCCTTCCTCACAATCACCATCAGAAGTCAAAAACGTCTGCTTCCTGTGTCCTCCATGGTAGTTGTTTGTGGGGCAGAAGAACATTCCATAAGGAGATTTTCATTCTCCCAACCAAACGACCTCACCTTTCTTCCCAAAGTCCTTTTCCGAGATTCCATAAAACGTATCTAAAAGAAATTTTATTTACTTCTTGATGCTGACAGCCTTCTCACAGCCTCCACTTTCCCACATTTACTAATGGGCAAAATTCATCTAATTAAATATAGAGAACTAGAGTCAGACACCCACCCCTGTGCTAGTCACTCCAGGCTCCCTTCATGATTAGTGGAAATAAAGACCCGTTCTTAGATCACAATCCATTTGGAGTCTACTTTAAGATGAAATTAATCACATCCTGGAAGTAAGGATCTCAGCCCAGGACAGTGAAGGTAACCTAGAAGACTTTCATCATGTCCATTGTCTAGCCTGCCAAAAAACACCCTAGGACCTTTTCTTCATTCCATTCTTATAATCTTATTAAAACTGAGAGGTCCCAGTTTACATACACTACTTTTGCTACACACATCAGCCATTTTACAAAAAAACATCATAAATTCCTTTATGCACCCTGTGTTCAAGCAGCTGGAAATGATTCACAAGTAAATGTGAATTTAGTTATTTACAAGTAAATTGCAAATCACAGCATATAATAAATTGTTCCATCAATGAGAAATAATACTTAAAGCTTTTCCAAATGATAAATAGACTTGCTAAGCAGAGGCACTGGTGTAAAAAGTATTGGTGCTTTTTTCCTCAAGTATGAGACATGGCCTTGCCTGTTTGTTAGTAATTTTCTCAGGGTTTCCAGTATGGTCATGATAATCTTGTTGTTTTCTTCCAAGTATTCTTCTTCAGGTACTCAACCTGTTTTGATCTGAACTTATTGTTCATTGGAACTATGGACTTAATGACTTGGAAATCTTTTTGCAATGACTTGGCAGGGGTTATGAAGTGACTCAGTAGCAAAGCAGGAACAAGCACTCAAACAGCACTGGCTCACAGTCTTTCTCAGAGGCTGTCTACCCTGCTTGAATTACTTACATGACCATCATCACTCAATCTTTCTTAACAAGAGTATTTTTCATTACTATTATTTCAGAAGTGCTTTGTAATAACTCAAAAGTACTGGAAAAAATATCTGAAATGCCCTTTTTTTATTTTTTTCCGCCTTCACCCAAAATATATGTTTTCTTCCACAGTGTACAATCTGTTTCTGTGGCAGTGGCTTGGGTTTCCTAGGTAACGGCTGCAGGTCAGACCTTGATTGGTTGTGTTGTCAGCTTGATTGCAGTGTTTCAGGCGGTGGGACCTGTAAGTGCAGCTCCAAAGCAAGTAAATAGGGGGCTATCCAAGAGCTTTGCATTAGTGGTCTGAAAGAAACCACACAAATGGCATTTTGGGGGAGTATATGACTCAGGGGGCACTGGTTTGAAGAGAGAAGGAGACAGCAAGGGATCAGAAAAGAGCCAAATCAGAGGTGTGGGCAGGATGGATGGGATGGAGGGCTTTGAAGGACAAAAGTTTGGCCGCAGTGAAAAGTATCAAAGTCTTGCCTTGCACTGAAGGGGCAGCTGACAGAATGGTGCTATGGTGGTCTGGACCCCAAGTTCCTCAGTTACTGGGACCTGAATGCTTTGTTTCATCTTTGACTCCATGATTCAAGTGCAAGCTTTCTGAGGCAAATAGATATATTAATACAGTACTAGAAGGGCAAAAAACCCACAATGTTTTCTACTGTAGTGCCTAGGTGCCACTCATAATTATTAAACAGAGTAACAGTATTCTTCAACCTTTTGGGAGAAGAAGAGGTGATTACCTGAAAGGGACATCTCAGATGCTGTTTGTTTATGAATCAGAGAACAGCACAACTACATAGGAAGAGCACACAGATTGGGAAGGAAACAGCAAAGGTGGGAACAGCAGTTCTGAAGGGCTCCCTGAGACTTGTCTTCTTTCCTCTTCCACCTGTCCAAGTACGTGCATACTGAAGGGCTTTCGGTGCTCATATGTGACCACAGTCACATACATATTTTCCTGGTTGAATCCTATATGAAATTTCCAAAACATAGTTTCAGAAATATAGAAAATCCAGAATGAACCTAATTTGCCTTTCCTTCCCTTGTTTTTCCTTCCCTCGCCTTCCTCTCCCTTGCTTTCCTTCCCTCGCCTTCCTCTCCCTTGCTTTCCTTTCCCTTGCCTTCCCTCCCCACAAAATGAGGTTTAATTTTAAACTTCAGCAGAATAATAACGCTGTGCACTTCTGACTCACTCTGCCAAATAAACTTCCACATGGTGATTATGCCATGTTCTGACTCCTTAATGTACTTGATAAATTCTTTGGCAAGCAGAAATGCCCAATGCTTAATAACTAGCTGTGAATCTATGGATGGGGGGAGAACAGGAAAAAAAAAGGTGTTGCTTGTTTTTCAAGTGTGTGGTTTCATTTATTTTCTCCCTGATGCATAAGCAGATCACTTTCATTTAATTAAGTAAAAAGTACTTAGTGGAATTGATCTGAACCCAGGTCTAAGAGCACTTGCTAATTCTGCTGTTAGTTTTAGGAAGCTAGTGGCAAAAAGCATCTATCAAGACAAATTTGTGCAGGCACCACCCATGGTTAGAGTCACAGTCAAATGTCTGCAGTTTAACAGCTTGCCTGTGTGTCAGCTGAGTACTGGGGACTGTCAGCAAGCTTCAGCCTATGGAAAATGCAAGCGGATGTAACCCTGTATAACCTGTGATGAAATAGCTCGGAAAAAAAAATCACGTTCTTCATGATTTTTACTGGCTTGCACAGAGATTATCTCAGTTCACCCGACACGCAGTAACCAGTTAAATTATGTTTAACAGACACAGCCCATGGTGATGGATGGACGTGTTCCAGCCCACGGCGACAGATCAAACCCACCTTGACATTTCACGAGTTAAACAGAGAAGGGAAGAAGGGAGGCAAGACAAAGAGACGAGGACACCCATCTGCTGTCACATAGAAGAGAAGCAACAAGTTAGAAGGAGGAACCTCTATTTCTTCACTAGTGCCTTCTTCCTCAGTTAACAGGGCTGCTTTTATTTTAATAGTGTATCACTCTTTTTCAAGCAGATGTACAGCTCTCATTAGAGATAATCTTCCATGCTCCCTCATCTTCCATTTTCCGCTTTACAGAGATAACATTAGTTACTGTCTTTTTATTGCATTGTTCCATTTTGTGTACTCAAAGAACTGTCTGCATTACAATAATCTATGTATGTCAAATGGGATTAAGAAGGGAATTGAATGAATCAGCCAGAGTCATACAGTAAATAATCAAGGAAGTTTTGAACAGGAAAATGCATCATTATAATTATGCAGGTAACACCAATCGGTGCTTTTTATTGAAACTTCCTTAATACCCTATAGAGACAGATTAAATGACACAGAAATTATTCTTTTTTCCTTAATAATATCTTTCTCTGGAAGAGAAATAGGTATTCCAGGCACTGCATTTGCTAGCATCCTTCTTATGGTACATAGAGGGAGCTGTTGCATAGGTTTATTAGACCAATCATAGTGAAAATTTTCCATTGTTACCAAACCCTTTATAAGATTTCATTATTACTTTAACTGGAAAAATCATCCCCTGATCAATATGTGAATGAAAAAAATCTCATGAGTTTTATGCACATAAAGAAAATACGAGCTGCAGTACAGTATTCGGCCTTTTGTGCTTTTTGCTTGACATTACATTCATTAATATATGAGCAGCAAAAGTTTTTTTGCTGCCCAATAATATAAAATTAGGGAATATTAGCTTCCTGATTTACAAAGCCTATGAAAACATAACAGGTACATGAGACAACTGTAAATATTCCGATGTTTATGTATACGAGTATGTCTCTTCCATTATTGCTAATACTGCAGGACAGTGTAGGCAAGGAGCTGGGATTTCTGTCTTCAGCAGAGTACAGGGAGAATACTGTCCCTGCCTTTCATTCTGCTTAACTTCAGGTATGTTTTCAGGCTGGTGTTGAAGCAAGGGGCAGGCAAATATTTAAAGGGGAGTCTCTTCCCTCTAGGAAACGTCTCGATGCTGCCGGTTACCACAGTAAAAGCAGCAGAACTCTTCAGCTCTACAGGTCTTTTTCATCAAACATAGGGACCTCAAATTCTCACTGGTTTGCCCTCGGGTTTAGGAAGCATGCAAAACCAGATGAAAAATGTACACTGCATAAATGTGACAGTCACAGGAGTTATCTTTAAAACTCGTTAAGGAAGAATCAGTTAGGGCAGAAATATTTTTTGAAAATGAAAAATAAAAATGAATCCATCTGTTTGGGTTTTTTTTAAACCTATAGAATATTTTGTTAACTTTTATGCCCATCACATTTCATTGCTGAAATTCTCTACGCTTCCAAGTTCCACGTGGTACTTGCAGTGCTGACATCCTTAAATTGTGACTATTCCTTCTGCAGTCCTGTTTCAGAAACCCCAAACAGGAAGGTTTGGAAATGATGAAAAGAATATTAACTCCCAAGAGATATCTGGCAAAACTGTTTGGGCGTGCAGCTTCAAAATGCATGGGAACAGGGGCATTTTTAGCCAGATTAGCACTTGAGACTCTTAAAGCTTTCATCAGCATGGGACATGACAAAGAAATGACATTTCTACATTGTGCAAGACAGTCTTAGATTTAGGAGCACCTTAAGCACTGAATATGATTTGCACATTTCATAGATGGAAAATTCTACACAGTAACAGGTTACTTAATCTCACAGCAGGTACACAGATGTTGAGTTGTATGTACATGGTCACATACTCATTCTTTATCTGACTCATTATGGTTTCCACTTGGGACTGAAGAAAAAAGGTTATTTACAATGCCCAGTCTGCGCCTGGCCTCCTTTTCATTTCAATCAGTAAGAGGTCTGACTGCCTTCAGTAAAAGCAAGAAGTAGCCCTTCATTTCAGCTCAAAGGTAAGTAAATTTTATCTACTGCTCAGTGCTGTGCTGAGCAGGTGTAGTAGACACCTACCTTGATGGCTGGAATAACAAAGACTACTCTCTTTGCCTCTACAACTATGTCTCTACTAATACTTTCTCAACCATTTGTCTCAGGATTTATGTCTGTCTGGTACTTCAATTAAAAATTGCATTGCTTGCTTAACCTCAATTCAGCATGATACTCAAGCAGAAGTTAACGTCAACACATGCACATTCCCAGTGATTTAAATAAAGCTATCTGTATGTTTAAAGATAGCTTCACACTTTTTGAAGAGTGATATAAGCAGTTGCCTCGATTTCTGCTTTAACAAGTGCACAGTATCTGAAGAACACATTTATTTATTCAGGAATTTCTTTAGCCCAAGTGTTTTGAAAGCATCCAAATGGGTGGATTTCTATTTTTTTTGCATTCCTAATACAATATTTGAAACCACATTTCCTCCAGAGCAATTTCTGAAGGAGCAGAAGGGGATATTTCATTAGGATAGATATACTGAAAAGAAAAATAAAAGGAAATTGTTGTAATCCAGTCATTTCACGTTTGGAAGAAAACTAATAGCTAATCTTAACTAAAGTGCTTTTGTTTCAGTTCATGACACTAACAGCTGCTGTAATTGTAAGTGTTGAGGCAAAGAAGTTCTGTATTGTGAAAAATAGACACTAAATTGTTCCTGGGTGTTTCAGAAGATCTTTCTTTTGGGTTTCTTTACTTTCTGACAGAAAACATGTATAGTCACGGTGCATTTATTTTTCATCGAACAGACTTCTGCAGAACAAGAATTCACAAAAATGCATTAAGTACTCAGTATAGGAAAAACCAACATAGCCAGATAGCCCATACAAATCCAACAGCTGGATGCCCATAAAGAGACCAAGGGCCAGGACAGCGATGGATGGTGAATAATGGCAGATATCACAGGTTATCTGGGAGAATAAGAATAGATGGGTTTGTCTTTTCTGTGGATGGAAGATAACTCACAGTAACTGGAAGTCCAGTTGATAGGGATTCAGGACACTGGTAGCTGGTAGGTGATGTTGGAGGCTGCTTTTTTGCTAAGTTTTCTATTTGTTAAATCATTATTGACACATTGTTAATTTGTCTTTGTTAAATAAAAGGAAATCAGATGCTGATGGTGCTTTCTGAAACCTTTGGACACAAGCAGAAATGTTGTGAGCTAAAGCTGCAACTCATTCTGACCATTTTCTTTACAATTTGAGTATTTCTTTTCCTCTTTAATCCTGAATACAAACTAACTGTAAATTTGATGGAGTTAAGGAATATATCTTTACTCTGCAATTCTGGGCCCTGGTTGAAATGTCTGACCTTTATTTCCTTTATTGCTTCTGCTCAGGAAGAACTCTTTGGGATGGGAGAGATCAGTTGCTCCATACTGCTTCTGGTTTCTTGTTCTTAGTGAACAGGAAATTATTCATATTGAAAGTGTTTTTCAGAAAATAGAATAAAAAGTCCACAATGGACTATGATTTTTTTTAGATGGCTTGTAAATGAATCTACATAATAGATAAATTTGCTGACTAGAAATGTTACAGAGACAATCATTTTAATGTTTCTGAAGCCTTTTTTTTACAGAAGTGTGGGTGTACAGAAAATATATACCCATTGTGTCCATGTCTGGTAGTATGCAAAGAAATAACAAAAACTTCTGGAGGTATTTCACTGAAAAATGAGTATCTTCCTTTCAAAGGAAACAAAATCTCCTGCAATACATGCCGAAACTTTACCTTGAAGTGTCCACTCATACTTCCAATAAATGGTGGGAAATTGAAAAGGGTGATTTATTATTTACAAATGAGGAAAATTAGACCATACAAAAGCAGAATTTAGACCATTGTGTTCCACAGTTTGTACAATACAGTTAAAAGCTCCTAGCATAGCTAGGTTGGATGGGTTCTCCATTTGTAAGAGTAAGATTTCATAAGTTTTGTATTCTGCATCAGGATAAAACTGATGGTAAAGGCTCCAAAGGAGGTAAAGGCCTGAGGCACAGTCAGGCCAAAAAATCCCCCAGGAAACCCACAAGCAGGCAGAATGGCCCAGTGACCATTGATGAATATAAGCTTGGAACACAGAGCATGCAGTAAATACATTGATAGCAGCTGATTTTCTCAAACTCATGTACCAAGAAACAGAAAAATTTGTGGGTACAAGGAGTCTTATGCATACCTTTCCCGTTGTATACAATTTGACAACAAGCCAACCACTTTATCCCATAAATATGAGCCTTCTCTGAGTTTTCCCTGCTAGGCAGAGTGGCTACATCGCAGTGATATCCCCTTGAACCTCTCAAGGTTGCTTCTTGAGGCAGAGACCTTTTTACTAATGGCAGGTCTTTGGATGAGTCCAATGAAAGTTGTCTCTGAATTGCAAATGGACTGCACACCAGTGGCTCCCCCTTTGAGCTGGGATGTCTCTCAAGGTTTGAGGTTCGTAACCTGAGAGTAAAAGATACTTCTTTACCCAAGGCAGAGAAATCCCTTCTTCATAACAGATCACTGATAAGTTGATGATAGCATGTTAAATAATTGAAATCCATGTAGCTAATTCCTTTATACATAAACTGTTGTCAAAGTCTGAGACTAAGCTTGGACCTAAACACGCCTAAGCTCCATTAGAAGTTTAGAAAGCAAGGGGGTCCAATCTGAACCTCATGGATTAATGGGAGGGTCTCCTTTAGCTTTTGCATCTTCAGTCTCTGTCTAAATCATTTTAGCTCAATTCTACTTTGATTTGCCTTTTGTATGTTTCACCCATGTGGCAAGCAAAAGTGAACCTTGCAACTAAACTTTGTTAAGTTATATATTAAATTCATATTAAAACAACTTTTGCTAACATATTTGATGGTGTTTCTTTCAGTGACCTAAACCACTCATTCGTGACAAACTGGCATAGTCAGCAGGATCCTAAATCAGGATTCATGACAGCTATCAGAATATAATTTATCCTGTCTGTCTTGAACATTACTGTAGGACGGCAAGAATCATCACCGTCCATTGGCTAGAACAGGACTGGATCTTGAACTAAACTTTGACTATAGTACTAAACAGGACTATAGTACAACTAAAGTTAGATGAGGTGAAAACAGCTTCCAAAGGAATCTCCAATAGCTTTCTTCACTAGCTGTCTCTATCAAAACACCATATTTTCATAAATTCATTACAAACTTCCAAGATACAGAAAAACTTTGCATTGAACAAAGGTCAACAGCTTCACTGACCTTATCCTACCAGCCCTTGTCTTTTAGACTATGTTAGCAACAGGCAAGATTTGTAATAGGCTCTAACACTCAGTGAACCTGTAAACTGGGTGCTGCCAACATTTAGGTTTGAACATGGACATTTGATCCCGGACACTTGTTGAACTTCTGAGTGTAAGATTACTTCACATGACTTCTCCTTCAGCTTTCTCCTTCCGACAGTGTTGTGGTAAACTGCTCAGAAGTGCAAATGCCAAGGTATAGAAATCCTGCAAGAAATAATCCCACAGTCTCTCCTTTCTGATCTTCTGACATTTGACTTCTGTTTTCTTCATTTTCTGCCTCTACAATCCCAAAAGTTGATACTTTCCAAGAAAGAGATCCAAGTATTGCTTGGACCAATTCCTAGAAACACTCTTCCTCACACATAATGCAGCACAGTCATTATAACTTATACTTGCTTTTCATAATTTTGCTAATAACGTGTCATTCTCAAGATACATCTCATATACCAGTGTGTCCCTGAAGAGTATCCTTAGTGTTTAAAAAATCCTTATCACTCTTGTTTTATAATTTAAAAAGATAATTGTTCTATAGTGCAAAAACTCTGCTTTCTGCAGTCTTCTGTATCTGTGAATTTATAGCAGGAATTCACCATCTCCTCACAAAGGTAGGAAGCCCTAAATGTTAGCTCATATAACGATATATTTCCAGAGAAATACATTAATATATCTATTAACTATCTTTTCCTTGGATGATTTTGAATGTTGGTAGGGTAAGTTAACATTCCAGTCTTTGGCTTGTTGGATTAATTTCCCACCATATGAAGAGAGCAGAACTTACAATTCTGCTCTTGATTTTTTTTTTAAGCAAAAGTCCCAGGTGTTTCATTTTTAAAAGATGTTACAGCAATAAAAATGTTATTAAAGTGTCTTCTTCATGCTGTTATAGTTGAGGTTGTGTCAGCATTTCCATTACAAGCTCATCTTTTCCAGAGAAAATGCTCTGGTCCGTTGGGTAAATAACACATGTTTTACTATGACGAATACCCAGGAAAGATAGAAATATTCAAGCATAAGATTGTTTAGGACACTTTCTTAATTCCATACAGTATATGTTGTGTTGTAATTTTTCCCCATGAATGAATAAATCAAGTACCGTCTGCCACTGATCATTAATTTCCTTGTACAACAAACTATGTTAGCAGTATTTTTACTTAGAATTGTTGTTTTTTTTTTAAATGACAATCTGAAGAAAATGTATTTCTCATTACATCATGCATACTTATCATGAGGATAATGCTTTGAAACTTCAGCTAGCCCTCAGGACTGTTATGGAAATGGAGACAGGCCCAGAAAGACAGGTTTAACAGCAAAGGTGTCAGGGGCAAATTTGGGGTTTGAGTTCTCATCATTGCTGAGGTCCCAGGTGTCTCTGTGTTATGGAAGTACCCCAAACCAAAATCAACTTTTAGCACTCCTGTCGTAAGCGACTCAAAGTCTGCAGAAGGAGGGGTACAAGAAGGAAACAGAAATCAATAGGTCCTCCTTCCCAGGCCTCTGCTGCATAGAATACACCTCAGTCGATCAATTTGCTAGCTAAGTCTACTTTCTCCAGAGCCAGCTCATAGACATTTTAGATTCAATTTACATTTTGAGTCACCCATTGCTGTTTCTAGACACCAGCCCCACTGTTAATAACAGCACATCTGTTAAACTGAATTCTGAGCTTGTCCCCAGCTTTTGGGATGCAATCTTGTAGTTTAATGATCTTTGGGACCATTACCATGACCCTGTCATATTCTTGCCTCATCTGACCTTGAAAAGGTCAGGATTTGTTACAGCAGCTTGAAAAATAAGTGGTTTGAATTTCGTGGCTGAACTCTTCACTCTCTGTTTAAGAACTAACACTGTCATTAATGCAAGGGACGGATGATCTCTGAGCTTCATCTCACTTACCAGAGGAAGCCAAAGTCTTCATAGCCTCAGGCCCATTTTGCTGTTGTTTATTAATCTCTGAATCCTTGAAGACCAACTATTTTATTGCAGCTAGGTTTATTGCAGAAATACTTACAAGTTACTTCTGGAACTTGGGATTCAGATGCGCCAGAAGTCGTGAAAACATATAGGAGGAGATTTTTCTTATCAGCCTTAAATAAGAAAAGAGTTAAGAAAGATTTTTCAGTGGATTAGATAAATAGAGATGTGGAAAGGAATATTTTCATAGTCTTTTGCACATGAAGAGGGGTGATATTAAATAATATACCTGAAGCCACGCTGAAAGTCAGCAATAGAGTCAAAAATAATGCCCATGTCCTGCCTGTGTTCAAGCTTTACCTTAACCTAAAATTTCTCATATTTAAAGATTAAGAATTCACAAAGAGAAGGTCTGTTTGGCTCATTTAAACTCTTATGTTTACCGAAAGACTATGATCTCTTAACTTTTGCTCTACTTGCAATTGTTCAAGACCTTTTGCAGGATTGTCATTCATCTGGTGAACTGATTAAAAAGACCATCCTTTGACTGTTCATTTAGATATTTAATACCAAGTTCTGTGATTAGGTGCAGCTAGCTTTTTTTTCTGTATTTCCTTGTAACTCTTGTAACTCCTCTGTTTCAGGACAGAGATTGCTGTTCTCTTGCTCTAAATTAAGCTGAAGTCCTGCACTAAGCATAGGCTTGTTACATGTTGTTTTCTTGTCCAGCACAAGGGTGGAAAGAGTCATGAACTGGAAGTATAATCTCTCTGTCTCTATTAAATCAGGGAGGGAATTTTATTGCTGAGCTTAGAGATCTCAGTTCTGGATGGTAGCAATTCAGAGTCCCTAGTTTCTGCCCGTCTTTCTGTAACTACTTGGTCCAGTTTTGTTACAACACATAGACATTTCAGTTCTCTTCACGTTTCTATTATACTGCAGATCATGCTTTGTTTGCATATGACATATCCTTAACTTTCCCATCCTCTTTCTCTTATCACTAATAAATGGTCAAAGGAGTCAATCTTTCTCCAGAAGCTCACAGATGTTGCAAGGAACATGAACCTATCTTTAGATAAGCTAGTTTTGAGGTGCTTAGGGAAAAACAGTCCAAGAAAAACTATTAATGACTTAAGTATGAATTGTTTTGAACATTTTTGCTTAAATCCAGTTTTCTGGAATGAAGCATTTTTGGCATTGACAGTTCTCATAAAGGGAAAGCTAATGATTTTCTTCTGAGCATAGTATGCAGATAATTACGATAATGTTTTTAGCAATCTGAAGTATTTAACTCCCTTCATGCAATATAAATCCTTTTTTTTCACCCTTCATATATTTAATTTAGCTATGCAACAAAACAGTAGAAAGAAATATGATGGTTTGGAAGAAAAGAAAAATGATAATTACACAGCTTCTTCAACATCATATTTTTGGAAGTCTTTTTCAATCTTTTGCTTGGTAATCTTTATAAATGGGCAATTTAAGTTTGGGGACTTTCTTTTTCTTCCTCCTAGCTGCATTAAATGTCTGTGTCTAAGCATGAAGCATTTGCTTTCAGTTTGTATGTGTGTATGGGACAGTGAGGTACCAAAAAATATGCATAGCTGTATATGTTCTCTGTATAATATGCACACATAGGCATTTATATATTTATCTACATACACAAGTAGATTTGCACATAAAAATTAGAAGGATATGTGCTCATAAACAAGTATTTTTCAACTGCTAGACCTTGGAAACACAATTACATAAAGCATCCACTTATTTGAAAGCTACATTGCAGAGTTGTTATTAATAACTGATAAATTGAGGAAAGGTTTGGTAGTATAAATATCATGCAGAAATCCTTTCTGATGAGTTTCTGAATGCTGTTGGACAATAAACCATTTTGGGGGGCTGTGTGACTCTTGTGATGTTACTTAGAAAGAACAGCAGGAAACAATGCTTGTTTAAGCTGTATTATATTGGTGAGAGAAAGGAAAAACGACTGAAACAACTCAAATTGAAAATAACTGCTTTTATCACTCAAATGTTTTTCCTCTAGATCAAGGTGCACCCCGTGTACCTTAGTGCTCTGCTGCTGCTGACTGCAGTTTGTGAGAACCTGACACAGGGCAAATCTGACTTGGTAGCAGTGCAAGGGCTAACATGCATCACTCAGCTGCAAGCATTCAGCACAGAAAGAAAGGACATTTCTCCACTCAGGTTGCAGTCATTGTTTTAGGGAAGGGAGCTTTGGATCTCAGCCTCTCTATGTTTGCTCAGAGGTGTGCAATGGAGGGAAGAAATGTTGAGAAACTGCTACACAAAGCTATAATTGTCACTACATCAGCCAAAAACCATCCTGCTCTTGTACTAAAGAATCTGATGTAGAGTATAAAAACCAGTGGTCATATTTCCACCTACACTTTCAATGTTATAAACATCGCTAAAAGATTAGCAGTGGGGATGTTTTACTGTGTGCATCTAGTGTCTGCAGACTTTCTAAACCCTACCTTCAAGATTTTAAAGGCATCGGTTGCTATTTCTTTTTCAACAACTCTCCACTGATGCGTTAAACAGAAATTATTCTTAATTTGTGAAATTCTATTTAAAGAACCATTTCAACAGCGACAAAACTCTTGCTGTGAAGTCCTTCTCTGAGCAGTCAGACTTCCACCCTAAATGCACACACAGCAGTATTCCTGTGAATTGCATTGTCCACTGGAAGCATGTGAAAAGAACTTCATGTACTCAGATTCCTCTGAACGCCTTTGCCATTAAAGGGACAAGCTTAAAATTGAATATTTTTAGACAAAAAATTTGCATTTCTGAGCGAAGATGGATACTACATGCTGTTAACTATTAACATGAAGCCCATCTTACAAGGGAGAGTGGTTTGTATCTGTTGGATATAGGCTTATATATAGTTTTCTGAAACTTCGGAAAATTGGAAATCTTGTAGGTAAGCTAGATTTAGAAATAGCTGAGAAAAAAATGAGTAATTTTAGTGTAATTTTACCAGTTTCTGTAACTTTCTGGTGCAAAGAATGTTAAAACTGAACTCAGCATGGTTTTTTGAGAATTTCCACCATGTTCAGTACTTTCCACTTACATAATTTATCCATAGTTCTCTGTGTACCTTTCAGAGGGGAAAAGGGATCATTACCCCCATTTCACAAATAAGGGATGTCTGAAAGCCTCCAAAGCAGTGATTTTTTCCCACGTTCACACAGAAAGCCATCATGTAGGGCTGAGAGTAGAAACCTTGGTCCCTTAATCTGCACAGGCTTCAGAATAGACAATCACAGGTCTTTATAAATAGCCAAGGCTACTTAGATCTAAAATTATTAACCCTCCTGCTGCAATTCCTCTACCAACAAAACATATACACAGTGTTCAACTGGAAACTGCAGAGCATGACAGCCAATGTGTTGCTATAATACTTGTTGTTATGAATTAATTAGCTGATTTGCATTTATATAGCACACTTCATGCAGAAGCAGCACATGGCATTATACACTTAAACTACATCACAATTAAACATAACTTCTGCTAGAGAAGTCAAGACCAGCCATCAAAAAAAAAACAACCATCCTTCCTAAAACTCAAAAGATTTGGGTTTCTCATAGCTCTGATGGGAAGCAACTTTTAAGAAAATTCAAATCTTTAACAAAAGCCAACTACAAGTCTCAGTTACAAGGGCAGTGACTGATCAGCTGTTCAGGGAGGTAAGTGGATATGAAAACAAGATGTGAATAGTATGCAAGTACTGTAAAAGCAATTAGGCATTTGACAGGGAACCAGCGTATCATCCTCAATTGCAATGTGATAAGCCAATGTATGTAAGTGACCATGCAAGATGCTGAATCTCGTGCAAACCAGACTTATGCAATAAATGATCAAGGAAGGCTGCAAACACAAGTTGACAATAATCCAACTGTGGTGTTATAAAACGTGAAACAGAAGCTATGCATCCCACTGGGACAGAAATGGTCTTAACTTACTGAATTTCTGAGATGGCGAAAATGAAGTCTGAAAAGCACAGCTTACATCGGCTGGTTAGGAAATTAAAATTCCACTCCCAGCCGAATGTGGAGAGAAGAATTACTATTGAGAGAGTTATTGGACATAGGGAAAAGAGCTAAAAAATCTATTCAGTTTTCTTTGAGCTCGGGAATTAGGAAAAAAACCCACAAAGATCCAAAATTTGACGTCTGAAAAAAGCTATTCTCCATCAAAGGTACACGGTCAGACACTAAAGCTATTTTTAGTGACCTCACTATGAAAATAGAGATTAAGAGAATGAAATCTGTGAGACACCTGTTTCTGTCTCTAGAGCTAAACTGCTGCCCCATGAAGAAGTTCTCAGGTGTTAGTCTTGATGTACCTACCAAGCTTTTTCTCTAGAAATATGCTTCTCTGGGCTTTTTTAGTGTTTAATATGTTCTTATGAATAATTTTTGACTGACTCAATTCTGCCTTTCCCACCAAACTTGCTTCCCCCAAATACCTTTATCCACACACCCATTTAAAAGAAAAGAAAATGATTTGTCACACAGCTTCTTTTATTCTGACAATTTGTCAGAGTAACAGTCATAAAACTGACCAAGCAGGAAAAGAATAGACCCAGTCACCTATGACCAAATCCTCAGTACGCTTCCTCTTAAAATACCTTTAATTAAGTCACCACTATATTTTTCTATAGTATACCCTGCTTTAGCAGGAAAATACTATGGTCATGCCCTGGACTGACTTGCTTAAGCTTTCTTCTCTATAGGATGCTTCCCACTGAAACACGGAAAGCAATCAGAGTTGCTCAAGGCTTCCTGAAGTCTTTCCCCAGCTCCTCCAGAAGGAAGTCTAACTTTGGTACTTCACGTGTGTTTGCAGTACAAGCTGAAGGCTAAATTTAGGTCATAATAAGAGATAATTTAAATTAGAGGTCAGGGTAATTGCAGTAACACCCAGCCATGAGTTTAAGGAAGAATTTTCCAGAATCAGAAAGTCCTTTGCTTTGTTTCAGCTATGAGTGAACCATGCACTACAAGGAATAACAAGGCACATAGGTGAATAAGAATACATTAGCAGGAAGAAAAGTAGGAATTCCTGTGCATCGTTTGATATCCCTGATTTTTAGAAATTTAAGGAAGGTAAAATGCATTCACTCAAGTTACTATTTCCCAAAACAGTC